TTTTTAGTAAAGATGGGGTTCCACCATTTTGGCCAGGCTTGTCTCTAACTCCTGACCACAGGTGATCTACCTGCCTCAGTCTTTAATAGTGCTGGGATTACAGGTGTGAGCCACTGTGCCTGGCCTTCCACCACCAGTTTTTGATTCAGTAGTACTAGGTAGTGAAATTAAGAACATATAAATTTAGGCCGGGCACAGTGGCTGTTGCCTGTAATCCCAGCACCTTGGGAGGTGAATTACCTGATGTCAGAAGCTTGAGACCAGCCTGGCCAACATGGAAAACCCCGTCTCTACTAAAGTTACAAAATAATAGCTGTGCATGATAGTGCATGCCTGTAATCCCAGTTACTCGAGAGGCTGAGGCAGGAGTATTGCTTGAACCCAGGGATTGGAGGTTGCAGTCAGCTGAGATAGTGCCATTGCACTCCAGCCCGGGCAATAAGAGTAAAACTTCATCTCAAAAACAAACAAACAAAAACACAAATTAAAAAATATTTTTTAAATATTAAAATTTTTTGTTATAAATTATTATTTTGGAATTAATTTACTAAGATATTCTATTATATCATTCTTACTGAGCAAATTACTAGCTTGAGAATTGGAGAATGTGAACAACATTCATGTTACTTTATTTATTTTTAATAAAACAGGTACAGCTTTCTCTAAGCCAGACCTGATCACCTATCTGGAGCAAGGAAAAGAGCCTTGGAATATGAAGAGACGTGAGACTGTAGCCAAAGCACCAGGTACGTGAGAATGAATGCAACAGATGAAAGGTCCAAAAGTTGATGAGAAAGTTAGTCCTTAAAATGTGATTTGGGAAGCTGTGTTCCAAAGGAAAGGAAATAGTTTCTGGGATGCCTGAGGACTTTTTTATTTTGCTCTCACACAGAGGTAACCTCTGTCTTATGTTTTTAAATTTTCCAAAGATTCTACTTTTTCTTTGGTGATCTTTCTTCAAGAGCCCAAAGTCCTCTTCATGAAGTAGAAGAGACTGCACAATCTGACTGCTTTTCCATTGTTTTGGGGGACACACACATATCTGCATAATTTTGAGAAACCTCTATGTTAAATTCTTGTTTTAAATTCTCTTTAGCATCATGCCTGAAATGTGTGAGTGGTGGTTTATGTCTCATCTTTGTTGTTGTTGTTCATTTCTCTACACAGTCCATCCACTTGTAATTACTAGAGTCTTGAAATATAGTTTGAAATTATAAAATATGATGTCCTTCTGCTTTGTTCTTTTTCCTCAAGACTGCTTTGGGTATTCAAAGTTTATTGTAGTTTCATGTAAATTTCAGAATTGCATTTTTCATGACTGTGAGAAAAATGCCACTGAAATTTTGGTAAGGAGTTCACTGAATCTATAGATTACTTTGGATAATATGGCACTTTAAGAATATTCTTTCAATCCATAGACATAAAAAAATTTAAATTTATTTGGGTCTCCTTTAATTTCTATTTAATTTTAATTTTATTTTATTTCTTTTATTGATATCTTGCAAATATTTTTTACATCTGCTTAATTTTTTTCTTAGAAATTTATTGTTTTAATAATATTCCAAACAGATTGTTTTTTTTGTTATATCAGAGAGTTTGTTTTAAGTGTATGGAAACATAACTTTAATTTAATTTTATCTTATTTTTCTAATTTAATGAGTATATTTATTAGTTTAGACAGCTTTTAATGTACTCTTTATAGTTTTTTACATATAACATTATACAATCTAGAAACACCATCTTTTTACTTGTCTTCATTTTCAATGTCTTTAAAAATCTTTTTGATTAATTCTTCTGCCACATAGTTTCAATGCTGTGTTAAAATAGAAGCATTGACGATGGGCACAATATAGTTTTGCATTGGTGTCTGTGGATTTGAAGGAGCAAATACCTCTTCAAGTTTTTGTAAAATGGTTTTAGAAGGTAAAGATTTTCTTTTGCTTGGCCCCCTGGGTGATGGGATGCTCTCTAGGTTTATAGTGTAGAAGGTTTGTAGTTTGGTTTGTCACAAGACTTCTGAGTCTACACTAGGGTCCACCTTTAGTTGGCTTGTGACAAGGAGCTTGGGTAGTTGTAATTTCCATTTTATTTTCAGACAGACTGAATATCCTTCAGGACTTTGATTTTTAGAGCAGACACTAAGGGAGGTGTCCGCAACTGGGCCTTATATCAGGATGTGGATCGGTATGGCTTGCACTGAGTACCGAAGAGGATTTTTCTTTTCTTTCGAGACAGAGTTTCACTCTGTCACCCACACTGGGGTTCGGTGGTGCAATCTTGGCTCACTGCAACCTCTGCCTCCCAGGTTTAAGCAATTCTCTGCCTCAGCCTCCGAGTAGCTGGGAATACAGGCACCTGCCACCATGCCTGGCTAATTTTTGTATTTTTAGTAGAGACGGGGTTTCACCACCTATGCCAGGCTGGTCTTGAACTCCTGACCTCATGATCCACCCACCTCGGCCTCCCAAAGTGCTGAGATTACAAGAATAAGCCACGGCACCCGGCCCGAAATAGGATTTTTCTAGGTCACTGTGTGGGTTTCTACGTAGTCCTATCTGGCCATGAACTGTGTTCCAGGAAGCTGAAACTGAGTCATTGAACAGCTTCAGAGATCACAGTAAAGGCCAAGGTCTGCTGGCCTGCCTGTAGGTTGATTAATTTGTATCATCCTCCAGGCCTCTGGAGTGGAAGGGCCTCTCCCAGATGGTTGCTGGGAGGACTTTGGGATGGTTACAGAGTAAGTTCACAATTCTCAGTGAGACCAAGTTGGGTGGACCATTCATTTCCTGGTCTTTAGCCAAGAGCAGAGGTCCTGTAGTTTGCTACATTAATGAGGGTTTGCCTTCTAAAAGGAAGACTCCTCAATTTTGGGCTTTAGCAGAGTTTCACAACTTCCTTCCTGGATCTCAAAGCTCTATTAAAGACACTTATTTTTGAGATGGGGTCTTGCAACATAAACCAGCCTGGTCTTAAAATCCTTTTCTGCAGTGATTCTCCAACCTCAATGTACCATGTAGCTGTCATTATAGGGGTGAGCCATGATGTCTGACTCCATTATGTAGGCACTTTTGTCAGGGATGGCTGACAAATTTTCTTGCTCTGGAGGGATGAAAAAATAGAGCACCTGTTATTTTTCCATTTTACTGATGTTACTACCTCTATACATTTCTACTTTCTGTTTTCTATTTCAAATTTGTCTGTAACATTAGATTCAGACATTTAGGACAATATGTTAGAATATACATGTTATGCGTGTATTACAGAATCTTTGAGGTGTCAGTTTTTTTTTTCCCTGGAAACCCTCTGTGGCTGGTGGCACCACTGCTCGAGTTCTTGTCCTGTGTCCAGTAAGAAGAAGGTATGCAGAGAAGTGAAGGGTGATGAAAACAAAGAGGATCTTTATTTAGTGTTAGAAGAGTTCAGAGGGGACCCACAGTGGGTAGCTCCTCTTTGTAGGCAGGTCATCCCATCAAGTGTTTAGCTCTCACCAGAGAGGAGGCCCTGAAGAGAGTGGCTTCTGTCTGCAGGCAGGTCATTCAGAGGTCTCTGAAGGTCTCCGAAGCTGCCAGCAGAGAATGTAGCTCCTCTCTGCAGCTGATCATCACATGGTTTCTGCGTCCTCTGCCCTCTCTGTCTGAGGACGGGGCTTTTCTGGACCTCAGAGGTGAGTAAGGTCATTACAGTTGGTCCATAGGTGGCCATAGGCAGGCCGGGAGGAGGCACCAGAAGTCCCCACTCTGGTCTGTGGCCCCTAAAGGTGGAGCTTTACAAGGGACTCACTCTTTTCTGCCAAGAAATCTGTCTGCTTCCTACTGCCATTTATGACCCCTGGGCTTGGCACCAACCGTGCTCTGAGATTGGAGTGTACAGGTGCTGGGAGAGGAGAGAGGTCATGAAGCAGGAGCAGACACCTCCAAGCCAGCAGAATGTGAGGAGCACCTTCCCAGGACCCCAAGGCTGTAGGCAGCAGAGATGCCCATGTCTTCCACATGGGAGGGTGGCTGCAGTTGCACCCAGGGAGCGCCAACCCCACCAACTCAAAAGGGGGCAGAGCTCCTGCTTGTCCTTGTGTAGCAGGAGGTCCAGGCCTATAGCCATGAGTCAGACAGCTGCTGCTGCACCGGGGAGAAAAGATCTTGCCCTCCCCAGTGAAAAACATGATTGACAAAAGATGTTTAGTCACCTTTGTGATTCATAACACAAACTCAGACATCAGAATTCCAGGAATCCCATACAATTTTTGGAACACACATTAACATTTTCACTAAAATATTACCTGAAAGTCAAACACTATCTGATAAACAATCCTATGTCAATAAACATGTCTAATAATCCTGTTTACCTCTCCCTTGGATGACCCAGGGGCCCTATGTAGCATCCAAAAGCTAGGGGTTAAAAAAGACAATTTGGAAGCTTTAAAGACTCAAAACACTTAATAGAAATTTAGGTTACCATAAGTCATCTGTTTAAAAGACACATAGTTTTTTTGTTTTGTTTAAGCAAAAACTCGGCAAGAGGGAAGATCCAGTATTTCAAACAATCTGTTTCTTGTCTTTTCCTTCTTTTTTAGGTACTTTATTCATAAGTCAAAGAAAAATCTTTTTTCAAGGGAAAGAATGCCAAATTTGACACTTGCATTAGTCTATTAATTAATTGTCAACCCCAACTTTTTAAATGAAACCTCATAGATAATTTTATCCAATCTTAACCAGTTTGACCATGAGGTGAGATTCTTCTAAAGCTAAAGAGTAGGTCAGTGCTTCAAGACACCCTTGTTGTGCTTTTATTCCAACGTTCAATTTATGAGAAAACCAAATATTTTCTTGAATTTAATCAATATGTGGACACATAGATCCTCTTTATAATTTTTACAAACTTTCCATAACTTGTTTAAACCTTTAGGTTTATCTTATTTAAAAACAATCCTTTAACTCTCTAAACTAGGCAAAAATTTGCATTTTCACACCTTCTTACAGTCTTTCATTAAAGACATATTTCACTTTCTTTACACACCTTGCATGCAAATCTGTTTTCAGTAGTCTCAATTACATGTTATAATGGCAACTGTTAGCAATCCTTAATTTGGGTGAAATACCTGGTAGGTTATTTCAGTTTTACATACTTAGGTGCAGATCAGGTTTGACTGTTTCTGGCATAGCTAGGGACATGGCATATGTTTCCAGCTCTTACCAACCTGTAAAGCAGGAAAGTCAAACAACTTTAAAAGTCCAAAGAAGCAGTTAGTGACCTTGGGGCATTTAATCAACCGAGTTTCTTACTTGCATAATTTGGAAAGTATGTCTACATTTTATAAACATTTCTATTTTTATTTTAGCAATAATTTTAAAGCTAGCTTATTTACTTAAGTTATACTTAAGTCACATGTATTTACAAATTGCTGGCTGGGTGCATTGGCTCATGCCTTTAATCCCAATACTTTGGGAGGCCGAGGTGGGTGGATCACCTGAGGTCAGAAGTTCAAGATCAGCCTGACTAAATTTAGTAGAGATGGGGAAACTCCATCTCTACTAAAAATACAAAATTAGCTGGGCGTGGTGGCACACCTGTAATCCCAGCTACTCAGGAGGCTGAGACAGGAGAATTGCTTGAACTCGGGAGGTGGAGGTCACAGTGAGCTGAAATAGCACCACTGCACTCAGGCTTGGGCAACAGAGTGAGAATCTGTCTCCAAAAAAAATAATAAGAAGAAGAAAGAAAGAAAGAAAGAAAAAAAAATTGCTTACAC